GTTTTCAATTATTAATACTGAATAATCAAAAATATCAAATTCCAATAAATTTACAAATCGTGCTATGCTTGAAACTTTTTTCTTGAATTCGTGAAACACGGTTGAAAAATAGAGCGTGATAAATGTTGGAGAAAAATTTGATCGAAATCGGAATAAAACACCGACTCTGACAGTCATCGATGCTATATTGAATGTGAATTTTCACATCGTGAACGACAGCAATGCAAAGTTTGATCACACAGAGACGATCTAACAAGGGCGTTGCTTCGAAGTGCTAACTGAAGTATCGATTTTCACGTGAAATCGCGAAGAAATTTGATAAGCCCTGTGTAGGCCAAGGGAAACAATAATTGTGATGGTAACTATTCTTTTAAAGTACGATATTTTTTGAAACGTAACATTTTAATTAGAAACGCGAATTCTTTTAAATTGTGTAAAATAGAGATATAATTTTTATTACACAAATATCCAAAAAACATGCATATGTATGTTTTTATAAACTTTGAAATTAAAATATAAAAATAAATAGAAAAGGATTTTGTTTTATTTATAGAGATAGAATTAAAAAATTAACTTTGTTGTGTAACGTCTTATAAAAAATATTTTTAAAAATACTGTTTCTGTTTTTAATATAAAGCAATCTTAATTATGTCTATCTATTTATATTTATATATAAAATTAAACAGATGTGTATGCACATACATAATATGTAACAGACAATACAAATAAAACTTTTACGGTAATATCATGTAAATAATAATAATAATCCATATTCTGCAAACAGAGAAGCAAGAGCTCTCTCCCTCTCCCTCTTCGTTCTAATGACTCTTATTTTTAAATAAAATTACCTATTACACTCATGTTATTCTCTGACAAATAGCACGATAAGTGGATTTTCCGTTATACTCATCACCTATTTCAATAAACTATACCAAGTAATCAATGCCAATTCACACTGTGCCATAGATGCGAAGTGATTCGATATCGAATTATTAATCTTTCCATTTTTCCATTTGTTAGTACAATTTCGTCACAGTTTGGTATTCCATTACAAGAATGCATTTTTTATGTTTACTTTAGCAGGTACTATGTATGATTACGATTTATTTTCCAAATGTAATAATATTTCAATAATTTAATATATAATGTAACACTATAATCGATAAAACGTACACGTTTTATCAATTATTTTCAAAAAATAAAAACTCTAATTTTATTACTACTAGTAATAATTATTATAATAAATTTCAATCGACTTCATCGGAAAATATACGGAAAATTGATATTTGCAAAATTGATACAGTATAACGATGAAAATTAGTGTGCCATTACAAACATATCTAGTGACATACCTATACGTATAATTGTTTAATATTCTATTAACATACGCAATGTGCGCACGATATCGTACGCAAACGTGCATGAAGACAAGTTATAGAATATGTTAAAAGTGCAAGTAGGAACAGCGTGCTTCTGCATAATTCCAAAGAGGCGGACTGTAATAATCTATGTAGGGACCTTGACTTGCAAATTAGTTTATTATTTTCGCACTTTGGATAACCGTATCGTCACCTCCCTTTAGGTGTACGACGAGGTAATGCGCCTGACCTGCAGGCAAAGTACTGCCCTGTAATTGGACACCGCTAATGCATCCCAGCCTCGTTCGTCGAACGTGAATGGAATAAGGTGACTGTGAAATCGAAGGGAAGAAGGCGATGTAGACGTGAGGATGGGTGTCACGTGCCGATGCGGTAAGCGTCGTTATTTAGTTTGATCGCGCCGATCTATTCTCCCTCGGTATCTTCCATCTCGATTCGCCCGTATCTTTCCCTCGATACTCTGTCGACGCTTCTGTTCAGCTTCCCGTTCCAGGCATCACTCTTTCGACTTTTTCACCATCGTCCAGCCGTCGCTTTTACACGGCTTCTCCACCGCATAATGCACTTGGTTGCATTTCCATTCGTACACCGATCGTACCATTTTTATTTTCCATGAGGTTTCCTTTCTTTCGCTTGTTCGTTCCACGATCACTTCGTTCATTCTACCTGCCACAATGCACATACTTTTTCGACGTGTCTTCCCCCCACTTCCATCGCTTTCCCATTGCCCTTCCCATCTTCTCGGCTTGTACTTCCTATTTTCAGACTGAATCCCTATTCTTCAGCATCTGCTTGAACATAGAGCGCCATTGCCCACTTCGAACTGCGATGACCTGGATACGACCTTATCGTTCGATGCTGTACGATGCTATAACGTCCTTTACCGTTCTGCCATACTCCGATTTAGCGCCCGCAGCTTCTCTGGGGGCTTTAGTTTCTCTCGCAGCTCGAAGATGCTAAGCTCAAGATAGAATCGACGACCCTCGAACGTTTCAAGAGTTTGCAATGGTACTCGGCACAGCCATATTTCGTTCTCGCGAAAGCGCGATAATCCGGCCAAACTTTCATTTACCGAAGATGCTCAACTCGAGCTTGAAGACAAAGAGAGAGGGTAAGGGAAACCAAAGAGGATGATAGCGACAGCGGCAGGACTAAAGAAATTGAATCCATTACGCGGTAGATCCGACGATGAAATCCTGAACGGGTCTATCTTATACCGTGCCAATGTTCTCGAAAGTTAAATGTTCTTTTAGCTACATTACGTTGCTCTTCGATAACAAGAAACTCAATCGGATCATTAATTATATTACTAGTATTCAACGTCACATCACATTGACTTTTTATTTAAAAAAATCAAAGTTCAAGAATGAAAAACTGATCCTATATCATTTTATTACTCTATTTTCGATTCTCTATTCAAGGAAAGAGTGATTGATTTTCGTTTATATCATCAATTATATTTGCAGTTCTATAACTCTTACAAAATTCAATTTACCAGTTTATAAAATACAATACATAAATCGAAAACTTCGATTCAATTGACACTCACACAGTTTTATTTTGCAGTGAATCAAATAACTGATATTAACAGGCTAAAAAGTTTGACGGTGAATAGATTTATGGCATTGTGATAACCGGGGCTTCGTTTACCAAAAGGTGAGGCGAGCTCGGATGCAGGAAGGAATAGAAATTGAATATATTACGACTGAAGCGTCGCTGTATAACACAGAGTCGTCTATCTTACTGATTTTCTTGGCAAACTCGTTCGCTCCTTAGGCGATGCATTCATATCGTCTTTAAACTCAATTTAACAGAATATTGCCCTATACTGCGCTATACAACGTTTATTACTGACGAATAAACCTTTCGCGAATTTTATTCGCAGGTTTATTTGTTTCACAAATAACTTTTGTGCATATCATGTTTATTAACAACATCTTCATTTTAATTTAATAACTTTCTATATAAACTGTCAACTTGATCATCTTGAACAATCGTATATTCTTTCAACACAACTGCATAAATGATTTACAAGAAAACACTTGCAACTTTTTTAGTTTAATTTAAGCTTGTACACGAAGAGAATTTTATTTTAAAATTTACCCTGAAAATCATGCTTAACCGTAGCACAACATAATATTTCGACGAATTTTATGTATTTTTTACTATATATTTTTTAATATATACTACAATAAATTTATTGTAGTGCATAGTAAAATTTGTTGAAATACTATGTTGTCTCACGATTAACACGATTTTCTGGGTAAATTTTAAAAAGAAATTCTCTCCGTGTATAAATCATATGTTGTAAAGTAATAGCGAGATAAGGAAAAATTGTATATTTCTTTCTTGTAATATATATGTGCTTTAATGCAAAGCTATCTGGAGGTAGAAAACTACCCTTGAAGTTATGTTAATATATTGGATCGAATATCGAATAAATGTTTAAAAATATCACTTAAAACCACAATACATTGTGATATTAGAAATGTTCATCAATATTTCAGATTGAATATAAATATAATTCCCCAAAAAATTTAAATGGATAGATATGAAGTACTATAAAACATTTATTTAAAACGATTTTTACAGAGTCGAAAATGTTTAATTAGAGTTATATATATCAAATTAACTTGGAAAAAATATCTCCAATTTTTAGTTATTCTACACCATATTCGAGATTCCTCAAAAATAGAAAAAAAACCGCAAATGTTTTCTCACTGAAAGAATAATATTGAAAGAAAGAAAACATTTTAAATCGGAAAGAATTGAATCTAAACACGAAGAACGCGTACGTATGGACTGCAACAATAAAAAGCTATATATTTCTCTCTGGTCGAAATATATAAACTATGCAATTCAAGTTAAGAGAGAATGTAAAACACCTCATCAAGTAATATTGATATTAATAATTATAACTTCAATTGTCTATTATTATACTATTTAAAAATTACGGAATTTATAATATATTTTTCAAAAACACTTTTAATATTAATAAAGTCCAATCATAGTAATAATTTCTAGAAAACATTTTTTTTAATATGCGGATGAAATTAATAATTAAAATGAGTGTGTGTGTGTATGTGTGTATAATAGCGATTATTTTTACAAAATCTAGTAAGTAGATACCGTTACATTATCGTTCATTATATCTCTACAGTGTCGTTAGCGTTACGGTCCTCGCGAAGCATGCTCTCAAGAAAAAACGTAATTATAATGATGATAACAAGAATGCGTAATAAGAAACTATGTTAATGCATTGCGAAACGTAATTATTGACACGAATAAGTAAGAAAAGAGTACATTTAGCGACTCTGTAGTAGGCTCCTTATGAATTTCTTGCGTTAAGATTATTTAATGAAAGGAATAAAGCGACACGCGCGCGAGCGTCGTTTGAAGGTCCGACGATGCAAAGCGGAACGAAGCGAGGCAGCCAGTCTATTATGTACCGAGTCTAATAACAGCTTACCGGAGCTTACTAAAGCTTCCTGAGAGCTCCTGGAAGCGAAGTGATTGTTACAGATATCGAGCGTAACAATAAAGAGGTAGGACCAATGGGTTAAAAAAAAAAATTTCGCTAAAGAGCTCTTCTTTCTTTTCAGTAATTTCTGCGATCATTGATCTTTTATAATTACGCAAAAATCTGAGAAATCTTTCCGAATTAATCGATTCGAAAATGAACATAGACATGAATTGCTAATATTTGCTTAATTTCCAATGTTAAAAGAGTATCCAATCAACTCCAGATCATATTTATAACACTGCTAATAAAAAAATATTTTGTTTTTAAAAAATTTATTTCAATTGCTTTTAAAAAAGAGAAAAAATTTATGTCGGTTGATAACTAAATCAGTTTATTTTAGATTAATGCTATAGATATATTCACATGTTACGTATGTGAATTGTTAACAATAACGTACGTTCAAATATTCAAATATTCTGTCCTAATTGATTTTATAATAAAAATTCTATAATTAAAACAACAGATTTGTAACCAATCATTCTGATCATTTAAAATATCCATTATCGTTTTCACGTAACAGTTTACATTAAGCGTTATTGTTTATATCAATTTGACGAATTATTTGAATTTGTTTATACATCATCAACGATTCATTTTCATTATCTTCTGTTCAAATATTTTTCTCTAAAAGGCAAGTTTTTTTACTTATTCAAATGGTATCTGTCATTAAATGAGAAGCGTAATTAGTCAAAAATGTCCTACATTATCCGATTCATGAAAATTGGACGGAAGTAGAACATTTACGAGAGTACTTTGACGAGAATGTCGATTAGTGCGACATCGTTATCTTGAAGGAACTATCGACCCGATTGAAGGAGCAACAGAGAAAACTCGGGCGTCAAATGTCAACGAACGACAGTGCTCGAGTTTCGCAAAGGACGATAATTCGTCGCGCAGCAATAATCGAGAAGATCATTTGTCTTCTGCGAATCGCGAATAAAAAAGAAAGAATAATGGTCGTCTGCTGTCCTTACCTTTCCGGAGCCCCTTGAGTTGCATAGGAGAACACCGGCAGCGTGAATCCTGTACTCTTTGTCGAGTTGCTCGTGTTGTCCTTGAATTTTCCTGCACACAAAGAATTTAACGGAAAAATTAATTTAAAAACGTCTCATAAAAGCGAATGCAAGACACAAGCTTTCTATACGCTGTTAAATTAAAATGCATAGTGATGAATAAAATTACAATGGAGGATGATGTCGATAGCTAAAGCGTATGCAATATACTACTAATATCGTGAATCAAATTAGTTAAAAGTAAATTTCTTCATTTTAAATTTAAAAATTATCTTTTAATTTTTATGTTGAGAAAATATCAGCATAAAAGAATCCATCAGTTCGAGCACTATTTTTATATGAAACTACGGGAAGTGTAAGAACAGTTTGGCTACTACTTTTGGATACCTTGGCTACGAGCCTAAGTCGCCATAACGAGAAGAAGATGGCACTCTCACGACCCACTGGCACATTTTTCAAGAGACTCTCAGCCAATGATTTATAAACTAAAAAAACTTTTTTCGCGCGAGGCAACTTTGGCAATTACGAGTAGGCAAACAATCTTATAAATTAGGGCTTTCTCGGTCGCCTCTCGGCGTAAGGTGATCCTGTGCACTCGTGTGCACTTGCATGTGATCGCAAGCACATGACGGACTAGCGCAAGAGCGAGCGGGGGAGTTCTCCGTCTATATCCGGGAAATTCTCCGAAGCTTGACGGCGCAGTAAAGTTCAGAAGGGAATTAATTGCACGGGCGAGAGGTATCGCACGGGCTTTTTTGTCGATTAAGCTGATTTTGAAAGCGGTTGCAGGACGCTTTAACACGTTGAGCGACGGCGATAACATGCTAATCTTGCCTACAAAAGACTTCGCTAACATTGTAGACTGTATACGAAACACTTTGTTCAAGAGAAATAAGGGGATATTAACAAAATTGAATAATACTTTATAACTTTACATTTTGAAGTACATGAACATAGAAAGCCAAAAATCTCTCAATATACAAAGTACTCATTGTAGATAATAACTTTTTAAGCTGTTGTAAGAAAAAATTTTCTCATATAGATTTTTTACCATTTTAATAATGTTCAACAAAAATATTTAACAAAAGTTTTTGAAAGGAAAGTATTTCAAAAATTAAAAAAATATTAATTTATTATTTACTGTCTAAAATAAATAATTTATAAAAAAATATTTATGTCCATTTATTATTTAATCTTTTTATCAACTTCAAATAGATAAAAAATACGTAAATAAACGCAAATATAAGAAATACGTAACTACGTACCCTACCCGCCTTCAAAGAACGAAGGAAAATAATATTATGAATGTCATTGAACAAAATAAATTAGATCTATTCAAGTAGATATAACCCTTATTGCATTATACTGCAAGATAAACACTCGTGAGACAATGGCAAAGAAACAAGATTGTTTAAGGAGTACAAGGTAAATAGTTGAATTATATGTCGACTACGATTCATTCTATCTCCGACAACTTTATCATACAGTGAAAAGAATTTATTACAAACATAATTTGTTATTTAATATCTCTCATAACATGCTAATATATTATACTGTAGTAATATTATATATAGTAATACGTTATCGAATAAATTTACATAAGCATTATCGAGATTCGCTTTTTCTCCAGACTTTCTTTTCAAAAGATTTTCCACGCTGCCAGAATCGATTTAAGTAAAGGTTACCCATTCGATTTCCACCGCAAAATACCTAGGTTCTACGACCAGAAATTTTTCTCTTTCTCGCACACAGTTTTTATCTCTTGTTTCAACTAAGATCATCGTAGCTGCCGCGGAATAATGAATATATAGAAGCTCTTATCAATATCACAAAAAATATTACATTTATCACTTTTATTATATAACTATATATTTACTTGGTTACATCTAGGTCTATAACAAATCTGTTAATATATTTTATTTCAGATTTGCTTAATACAAATTACAGACCTTAATCTCACATTTTCAATTTATTCAGCTGTCTAAATGCGATCGCTAAATATATATTCTTTCGTGTATCAGAAACAAAGATTAGAAAGAGTTTCCAAGTATTCATTATCTCATAAATTTATCAATGTCGCATAATCAAGGAGCCGACGAGAGGGTCACCGTGCAAACACGACGCGAGACACCGCAAACGCGAGGGTGGAGCTGTGCAAACAACTTCGTGTTCATACGCGTGAAAAAAAGTCTCACATCCCGCTGACTTGTTCTTTTTCTCAAGGTGTTACCCTTTTTCCGTGTACATAGCGAAGGGCGAGAATAATTTCGAAAATGTTTGCAAAATAAAATAAAAACATGCGCTTTAGAATTATATGTCAAGTTTCCGTTTCTTGAGTCAATTTATTACGAAATCAACGTGCAGAAGTATTTACGGTAAATGATATAATTGAACTTCACGCGATGATAACATAATGCAAAGTTACAAAACTTTGTGATGCTGCGTACTAGTAAATAAACTCTGAAAAGTTAGTTTAAACCTTAATATTAATGAGTTAAGCTTCGTTAAAACGTAATTTCGCTCGTTATGTTCGCTTGAACATTATGCAGAGTATTCTGAAGATAACGCGATGAAACATTTTCTGATGGGAGTAAAAAGTGCTGCGATAAAATTATTACTCCGTCACGAGACTGCCCTCGCTAAATCTTTTAGAAGTTAAGCTCTCGCATTCCCATGAGAGTCGGTTCTAACATAAAGTTCGCGTTTACCCCGCGATTTAGTTGCTTCTTAGCAAATGTATTATTCGAAAAAGCCTTTATTACACAAATAATTACTTATCTTAGCACACATGAAATATGCAAAAGCTCTCTCCATAAAAAGAGTTTCACGTAAAATAATTTTTAAAAATCTTATTTGTAAATAAAAACCAATATGTTTATCACAAAAATTAATTTACTTACAATTTACATATAAAAGATTAATATACTTATAAATAAGACAGTGGCGGAATACGTCATAGACTAAAAACTTTTGCAATTTCATATATATTAATTTAACATATGATATGTATAGAATCGTTTTAAAATATATATCATCAATATTTATATGTATATTCCCACTAACAAATATTTTTAGAGAAAACTTACGATATAGCATGCAGCAATTCCTGTCGCTGCTTCTCCTTCACTTTTACGCTTCCACCTTCCTCGAGAGCTGCTTGCAATTCCCTTTGCAAGACTGCCAATTTGCGGCGCTCACCCTCCAAGAGTAATGAAGTAACCTGAAACAAAATATAAAGGTTATTTGCTACCTCGTTGAATGACAGTAATCAAATACATTTTAGTGAAATATATTTCGATTTCTTGACATATAGCATATCTCGAAAAAGATAAAAAAAGAAACGATTGCTAAAATATAAACTTTATTTACTGAAAAAAAAGGAAAGGTAGTTTTATAGATATATATATTATTTCGCTAATTTTCTCTCTCTCTCTCTCTCTCTCTCTCACACACATACCTATAACAGCTGTGCGATAGACTGATAGCTACATAAATAATAATATCACTTCATCATTTATTAATTCATTTAAAAAAAAAATACAGAATGTAGAAAAATAATTTTCTGAAAAAACTAATTAATTAATTAACTTCGTATCAAAATATTACTACAGAAAATATTAAAAAATTGCGAAAGTCTGAATTCCTGTAAAAATATTGTTTTGAGCGACAGCTGATTACTTCGTGGGATATCTATTATAGTACGGATTTTCAACGAAAGAGCTTATCATGCTTTCTTTTATTACTCTGGAACTTCTTGCTATTAAACTGTAGTCCATAAGTGCAAAGGAAGCCCAGATAACCAAGCAAATTAAAAAATCATGAATTAGCGGGCGCTTTTATGTTGCCAATAATTTGAAGATCCCCATCATCAACGAAACATAATATGCTACAACTGTATTGATTAATATTCCTAGTTCTCCATTCAACAATAAATAACTGTGATTTAATCGAGACATTTCACATTACAGCAGCATTACAGGAACTCGATGCAATTATATGCCAAGCACGCGAAACCGCGCATAAACTCCTCGATCTGCCGCCGTACAAATATTAGAAAAAAATGTAAATGACGATACATACACACCTGCGGTCATGTTGATATAGTATACCCGCTTTTAATGCACTCCGAGTAGAAGCTAGGGTGTCTCAATTGAAACATGCAAAGATGACATTTGTAGCGACCGGTGCTACGGCGAGAACGCGATCGCGGTGACGCGACGCGCGACGTATAGTGATTGCATGGAACGTTTAACTAACACATTACGGACGATGCCTCAATACGCAATTAATTACGACGATCGAGGAACTCACGATAATTCTTCGCTCGCGTGTCTCACTTTCGTTTCGGATTCCGAGAGATACGAATTTAAATGATTCGAATGCGATTTCACAATAAACCATCGCGCCGCGGCATTCGCGATGTGTTCGGCTTCACAGCTATACGATCTATAAAACTATATCAACCGAGCGATATCGCGATTCCAATAATTTATACCAGAACGCGTTCGAAGTGACGATACTGATTGCATACTTCATGCACTCCGAATAGAAAGTATATATTTGAAGACGACGTTTTCTTGCGACTTCGAGGTGCTCGCCGCTCGGCCAAAGTACGACCGTGGCGACGCGATGCGACGATTGCACGAAATGTTTTAACGCGTTACCGTTGGGTACATAACTAGTTAAGAAATATCAAATATATATATATAATTAAAAGTTAAATAATATATGTATATATAAATTAGGAACTGTTACTTTTACTATTTGAGAACGTGTTGATAAAAAAGAGATCGTGTATGTTACGAAATATATCAACTGACGGCAATATAGTTTTCCTTAAATATCATGTGCTGGTTTACAGATTTATAATGATCGTTTAATAATTTATTTTTCAACTATCGACAGGGCTACTGATCAAGTTATTTTCCAATATGATTTTTTTTTATAACCGAATAAAGTAAATACATCCAATAAAGTAATCCAATAAAGTAAATACATCCAATAAAGTATCCAATAAAGTAATAGCATAATTTTTAATACGACATAAATTATATGTATTAGTAAAAATTATTAATTTATAAAAATATAATTAATTTAATTTAATTTAATTTAATATAACAATAATAGCGAATTTGAGTGGATGCATTTTAGTGCACACTGGTGCATATTATAATCATTGTACACTGCAGATCTAAAAAGTCTAAAAATGAAATGCAAATATCTCGAAATAAAATAATTAATACATATTTTAACAAAGAACATGAAAAAAATTTAGATACTGTACTCACTCTATATTCTGTCTTAGAAGAGTGCATATTGATATCTCAGCTTTAAATTTTTAGAATAAAGACACAATAACGAGCAAAATAGGCTTTTGAAATCGACTGACCTCCTAGATATTCAATTTAATCAACGATATGTGTGATAAATTATATCGATAAAATATGGACCATGGTTGAAATCACAAAATTGAAAGATAAGGCGAAAAATATCATAAAAATAGAGAGAATTCTATAGCGAACGAATTTATAATATAAGTGCGTTAAAATTCGTTAAAATCCACTAAAGATGACCGCTATTCTTTGAGGATCGAAACATTTAATTGTATTCTTAAAGAAGATTGTTGACAATTTTATACGTTAACATAATTATTTTTTATAAAATTTATAACACACGTTATCAGCGTGTACATCTAGCTTAGTTCGTTAGCCCTTCTATTGTTTATATTATATTATTTGAATATTTATATACTATATTGAAGATTTCGCGATTTACATATTTATATTAAAAACATATATCTTTACTTCAATTTGTATACGATGCCTTTAATGTGCATTAATGCGCACTAGCGCGTCCAATCGCGCCAAATTTGCTACAAATATGTATTATCCTAATAATTAACTTTTATTATACCTAAACACATCTTTATGTCCACAAATTCAAACAGCAAAAGAGTAAAAATCTTAAATATAATAGAAAATCAAAAAGAGAACACACAAATACACTCAAAATAAAAGTTTTTATGCGCTCTTATAAATAAAAACCTAATAATTGCTATATTAAATTATAAGACTTTACTTGGACGGCGTAGATTTCTTATTGCACTTTCTACTAAAAACATTAACATCAATTCTGAGCATAAACAAAATTAATGGGTTAAAGAAACGCGTTCTTTATAAATATTTCGAAAGAGGACAGCGTAAAAAAACCTCATGTTTTTATTTATATCTCATAACGATTTCAGTTTCCCTGCTGAGTCCACACGAGCGCGATAAATCGTACAATACGCGCATCAAGAGCGCACATTCGATTTCACGCGCGCACGCTGTAGCTCGCGCGCAAACATCTCATATGCAACGACGCGTGCAGATACGTATACGCGTGTGTATATGTAAATCGTTCTTGCACTTGTTGGATGCAAGTGTTGGACCACAGGACGTAGGTATACGCATATGTACGCGCATACACACATGAGCAAGAAGATACCTGAATAGATAAACGCAGGAAGATACGAGCCGCTAACGCCGCCACGACTCGCCTCTAAGCTCGTTGCGCTCGACGGAGGATCGCGCATACGAATGTACTCTATAATTGGCCGAAAGCACTGGACTTCCTACGATTATATGAGTTATTATTGCCAGATTATGCTAATTTCACAGGAGAGATGAAAGCTCGCGCGGATGCGCTCACGAGTGCGTGTCATGCTGCTCTTTTGGTCGGCGCACCGCTGTTAACCGGTACCCCCATTGGGAGATCATTAGGGTAAAATCAAAAGATAGCTGCAAAATGTTCTACATTCCTTGTTCTTTTCCTTTTTATCCTATATATATATATTTTTTTTTATACTTTGATCTTTTTTCTCTTTAAATTAGAAATTTTTGATAATAATAAATAGAATAAAATTGTAACCAAATACCTAATCTGTCATGAGAATTATTTAATTTAAATATATGTAAAAAGATAAACAAATTAAATAATCATCTGCTTTTATTGTGGAAATTATTCAATTAATTAATCGCCAACATAGCCAGACGTTGTATCTTTAAAATGTCTTTAAAATCTTTTAAATGTCATATACAAAATTTTTAAATACTTACTTTTTTAATAATTTTATTCTTATTCTGATTATGTATATAGGTTTATCTTCCAATATTTTTCCATTTATTTCAATACGTTAAGTTTCTGGGATTCTATATATGACTGCAATTGTGATATCTATGTGTAAATACCGCAAAAGAATTAGAGGCATTCAACATTTTATGGCCGCATTGCGCAGCATATTAAACGTTTGCTCCAAGTCGGAATTTAAATTATATCCCGCCGCAGCCAATATATAATAAGTGAATTCGCGATCCAAGCAGTAGGTATTTATACGATAAATAAATCGTGATGCATTTTTACGCGTACAATAATAATGATTTAGAATTTATCTTGGTTCGCGCATCGCGTAATGTTCAACGATGAGTCAAAATACACATGAAACGCACCATAGTTTTCTCCAAGCAAGTCCAAGCAAGCATTTCGTTTGCTCTGCAATGCAGTGTAAAATAGAACGGAAATTACTACATTTGTACATTATTATATCATCATAAAAGTAGCGTATTTCAATGAATTTGTATACAATGTATCCATTTTGCATTTTATCTATCTGGCATTAACTTACGTGAATTTCTTGATATAATAGTTTTCAAAGTATAACAACTTTAAAAATACACGGAGGAAATATCAAAGAATATAATGCATGATAAAATCTCGTTACATCGCGAAAATATCAAATTGCATTGTGAATATTGCATTAAGACGAATCGCGCGCGTCCATCAATGCAGATAGCGAACTCGACGAAAAAATTTGAAAGAAATTTTTTTGCATTAAAAATTTTGTTCCACAACAATGTTCTCCAAGATACATTTTGCTATTTTTAATTGTCCGATTGAGTGTCTCTGGAGAGTTTCCGAAAGAAATGGCTCTCAAAAGAAGATATTTAAAAGGTTATGAGATTTTGTATCTCGGCCTTCTTTGCGAGAGAAATTTTTTTGAGAATTGGACCTCCGAGACCCTTCAGGTTGCTATCAGTCGAGAATCGCAGCAGTGCAACGTGTCGATTACGTTCACGCGATCACCGGAAGTTTCCGAACGCCACAGGAACCTGAACGCGTGCAAGTGCTCGTTGCCAAAGCGTCGTTATTGCAGACCAGACTATCTTAGTTTGAGCGAAGTTCAGCGATAAGTCAGCTTGAATTGCTAGTCTCGTGGTAGCACGAGTGTCAAATCAGACTTGGTCAGCGCAAACTTTTATTGGCGGAGTTCAACCGAACCTGAACCGCTCTGAAAGAAACTTTAACGAGAACAGATTAGAAGCATCGCGTTATTTATTGCTTTCGAAAATATCTATGACTAATTATTTATTAAATATTCTTTCATGACCATATAATACATAAATATTGTTTGCTATCCCATTCAATAATGAGTCTCGAATGTGTCTTTACGTCATCACTTTATATCCACATACCTTTATTATAAATGCGAATTTTATTAAAACATTTTCAAGATTAGATTTTCCAAATCGTGCCGACGTGCGACGGATGCATCGTAACCCGCATTGCATCGTAAAACGGATATACGACGGTGCACGGACTCTACTGTCTGTCGAAATAAAACTTTACGCAACTCCTTGAAGCACTGACTCCGCTTATTAAAGATCACCGCGATATTATGCTGATTATGAGTGTACCAGGCTATTATCCTGTCTATCGTAATCGCGTATTCTCGCTGGCTGTTTGCAAACGCTACGTTGATCGAGATCGAGAAAATAAAATAATCGCTTTTAGACGAACGTTGCATACAACTGTTCAATTGTGCGTAATTAAATTGTTATCGATAATTTATCGGAACACTCGTGCGTACGGGCAATTTCAGTTGAATCTGTGAATGCCGGTAGCACCGGCATTTATATAAAATGTTTATGCATGCTCGTACACAGAAGTCTTTATGGTGATGCTCGATCGTAACACAGACATTCACGGAAACCTTTACTTAAACGGATATTAAACTAAAAAGTCAGCACATATAAAATGACACAACGAGAAATAAGCTTATATCTTTTTATTCGCTTTTCTTAATTATTGACTCACAGCATGCAACCGCGTGTTTACTTCAAGGATCCTTCGTAGTTTAATTTCAAGTAATATACATATAACTCTATATCGTTATGAATAATTCCATGTTACGATAGGATTAGATTAGTAACACGCAGAATTCTTATCTTGAGATGCTGAAAAGGATACTTTATAATTAACTCATAATTAGCAAATTTCTTAGAAAAAAAAAATAGAAAGAGAGAAAACCACGTCAATTTATATATATAAGATTCTGCATCTAGCTAATTATTTTAATTTTTCCAACAAAGAATGCGAGAAGAAAGTTCAATTATGTTATTATGCAAATTAAAGACATAATAAGTTTGGCAATTGAAGTTCATCTAGTAGCAGCAACTGCATTCTTCCCAATATGTAATACATAATATTTTGAGATAACATAATATCTAGGCAGTAACATTTCTCGTTATTCTCACGCATATACATTGTATAGATTTATGTATAATATATCGATCCCACATTATGCGACTTGATCTAAAAATTATCACAACTCATGTTGTTCGCGAAATAATTGATTCAAGTGAAGTAAACGCTCAGATTTTCATTTTAACAGTGGTAAAACACGAGTCTCAATTTCGCTTTCGATTCGCTTTCGAGTTTGACGATCTCCTCAACCGCGATTCTGTTACACCGGAACGTTGCAGTGGTTGGGGCGAAATATCATCCGTGATGAAACGAATTAACTGGTAAATCCATAGAAAAATTTAGTATAAAGAAATGACGAAGATCGAGAGAAATTTCGCTATTACTCGCTCGTATAAGTGCTCTTCAGCGAATGTAATTTGCGCGTGTAATATCCAAACAACATTACTAGTGGTCCAGTGACATACAACAATTAATGTCGCCGACGTGTACATCCGCAGCAAAAAAGATCCGCACGTAACTGCAACACGTTATAATGGCTAATCTAATTGGATCTGCTCGTTCGGCTGTGACATGCCTCCAGGACGCTCGTTTACTCTCTCTCTCTCTCTCTCTCTCTTCCCTTCTATTTTTAATTTCTTCTTCAGAACTATTCGTCTATACATCATATTGTTTCATAATCAGATTAAATTGTCATGAATACATATAATTTCGTTCTCATATAGCTGCAGCAAATTTATAATTTATATTAACAAAATTACTAAATTAGGAAATAAAATCTCTTCAAAACTCATAAATACACAATTTCATATTATAATACAACCGCAAAATTTAATTGACAGACATTTATTTCGATAAAATAGATTATTAAACAATTAATTTTTATTACATACTCTGCGGAAATTAATTCTGCTTTGGAAGTGGCATCATCAAAGACAAACGATTAGGAAACAGTGCAAAATATGCAAATAATGTATTAGATATTGCATTATCGTATAAGTAATTGATTCTATTTTATAAATTTGCTAGAAAAATATTAAAATAATATAAAAAAAACATATGGTATATGTATCCATGCAACAAATTATAAGATAATATACGTGAAAGCACTCTTTGATTTGTCAGTGTCAAAGTCAGTAAATTTTACACAAAAAGGTCAACGGTCTACTTATATATAACAAAAAGCCTTTACATTCGGACAGAAAAATACAAGTACAAAAAACAAATGATTTGTTCGTTCTTTGAAAAGTTCTGACCTTTACAATGATTCTTCGTGCTTAATGTTAAAGTGAAAACGAGCCTGGATTCACGGACCGTAACTAGGTTCCACAATGATACGCACGTGCGCAAAACTTACGAAATGTGTCCGCTTCTTTTTTTTCTTAATCTTATTTCGCTTTCAACGGCACAATATTCTGAGTAATTTCGCAAGCTAGACCGTGTAACTCGTGAGTTGTCGAACAAGTATCGATCAGTGTGAATTATAACGGTGAGAAACGGGAGTTCAGTGGCGTTCAATGTCCTCCGAAAGTTCAATTCTAGTTTAGCTTCACTTCTATCATATGTTTAGCTCACACGTACTTATCAATTTATTATAAGCGCATCGATCAATTAAGCTGATGCTCATTAAATATTGCAGGTGATGACGACGCATTACGTAAATCATATCTTTGACTGTCATCAAATTATATTATAAAATAATGGTCGTATCAACGTACGTTTGTTCGACAATTCACGAAATGTTGTCGCATAACTGCCTCTACTCTGTAATTATTACGTCATTTGTTTATGATTGTGCAACTTACTACGTAATTACAGTTCGATCTTTTCATTTCTTTTCCTAAATTTTTTTCTACTTAAATCTATTCATGCAACATTTCCAACTCTTGCATCAACTTTTTTGTGACAAACAATTTTTTATTATCAACTTTTTTTTAAATATTTTTAATTCGCTATACTTTCTTTTGCACGCGCGCATTTGTGTGTGTGTGTGTGTGTGTGTGTGTGTGCGTGTGCGTGCGTGTGTTGTGTGTGTGTGTGTGTGTGTGTGTGTATGCGTGCGTGTCTGTTTATTTAATGTTTTTATTAACACTTTTACAATTAATTGTACGCTTTTCTAAATTATTGATCTTTCTATCGAATTGTAAAAAATTTAAATAATCGAGTATTTATTTTATTGTCGTAAAAAGATAGATAAGAAAGTAACAATTGACATAGAAAAGTAAAATACAAGAAAACGTAATTAGAAAGCACTTCTCGTCAAAGCACTCGGGACTAGGTATTGGTGATTGACATCCGACTTTACTAGTATTTCATCCGTTGAGACGCGGAGAAAGGTGTAATGGACAGATTCATCACCGCGACAGGGAGGAGAGTGCAACGAACGAACTTTCCTTGGTCGTTTCGGTTTCAGGTGGCTAACCGTTGTACCAGAACCGATACGGGTTTTCTGGGTCGGGCCTCTCACTGGCCTACACTACAATCGCGGGTAAAAGTGACCATTGAAGTCAGCCAATATGTTCTCAGGTGAATGGATAGCTAATCCTGGATCGAATGTATTCTCGCCCTCGACAAGGATACCGGAGATCGCGCATTAAATTATACTCGCTTCCCTTTCCCGATTGTTCTGACTTTCAAGGACTCTCCGCATTAACAAACATTAGTATCTTAGAAATTATTTTAGTTTCGCGAAGCTTATTGTGTGATCCTTTGCACGTTTGAGTTAGATAAATAAATTTCCCACATAAATCTTACCTCCAATTGCACTCCGAAGAGATCTCTCGATCTTCCAGGTCTAGGAGTATTCAATTCTTGCATCTCGGCTTCTCGTTCTACCAATCCCATTTCTTCAAGATGCCTAAAAACATACAACAAAATTTAAAGTCTAATTGCACCATAATTGGAAGATTAAGTTTATCTTATTATTTTATCTTATTCTTATCAACAGCAACAAGTAACTTATTATAAATATATGATAGAAAGGACATTAAGAAATCAATATGTTTCAATATCATAATCACACAAAATTAATGTATATCAAAAACGTATAAAACCTTTCATAGCGATTGCTTTTTTTCTTTGTTTAAAATAATGATATATGAATTATTAATCGTAACGCCAACAAAATAGCACAAATAGCAACGTTACAGTGACTGAGTTTTACAAATATGCTTTTCTCTCGCCATGATGCATTACATCCGTTTCTAGTTTCTTTTGTTTTTATGAAACGGTTAAGCATCATAAAAATGATATATATCATAAAATGATATATATGGCGAAACTAAATCAGAAATTTTCTCAGAGAAACTATGGTAAAGTAAACCAACTATAACAGAAACAAGCCGAGTTTGATATATGAAGCATTCTGCAGTGGAACATGAATCATTCGACAGAGAAAGACATAACAGTTACAGACGCATTTAAATGTCTACAAGCATGACCGAATGCCGAGCTAGTTTTTATGGAAAGATAATTAAAATAATAAAATAACAACTATCAAAGAATATCGCTAGCAATTCTAATATCAAAAGATTCTCTCTCATAAATATAAAGGTATTTTTAAACCAACAGTTTATAGAAGATGATGATGTATAATATGTAAAAAATAATACAAATAAGGCATTAATTTATACTGAATTGATAATGTATTGTAACACGAAATCAATTTTAAATGTTAAAAAGCAAATATGTATCTTAGGCCCGATTCCACAAATATAAAATTAACTTTAAATTCGGTTTAAAATGACTTACTGTTTATCTCTTTAAAATTTACTTAAGTTTATTATTATTTATTATATACATAATAATTTATTTAATTATATTATATATATATATATATATATGTATATGTGTGTATATACATATGTAACAGTTATAACAGAACTAATGAGATTCGTGTAAGGTTTAGCTAATCTGCATTCCCAAATTCTTATTTTTTCTTATCCGCCAAGCGTGAAAATTTAGAAAGGTTACGCTCTTCCTCTCATTACACACATGACACTTTCACGTAAGCGCTATTACTCCGTTGGCATTTAAAACACGACGCGGGGTCATTACCGCGGCGCCGGGAATACCGCGACGTCGCGCCATCGTCAAAGCGTGCGAATCATGGTGCATTGTCTGGCGATCCGACACTGAGAAAACAATAAAGCTAAGAATTAAAGTGCTACGACTCACGAGAAAAACCAACTGTGTCAGATATGATACTGACAAAATTTCCCGCGACATGAGTCATTCGCGGTGCTTTTAAGTATTCGCGGATCGGCGACGGTAAATCGCGATTTGAATAGCTTTAGAATAGCGTCATGCAGAATCGCGTGATCTCTACGAGTCACGAAAAGTGTCTTGATTCAAAAAAGAGGAACGCATGACGGGGGGAGGGATAGGATAGAGGGAGGAGGCAACGCTCGCAGGATGCGCCGCAACAATGCGTCTGGGTAACGCCGCGCGAACAATGGACGATATGCAGCCCGTACGTCCTTGTACCGTTATCTTGCTCGCCGCGGAATTATCCGCTAATTATTTGCAATTAATCGCAGAACTGCGCGCGCACGCGCGAGCGCCCGGGAGCGACGCTCCGACGCTCCGATGCTCTAGGACAGCATCGTCCTCTGCCTCCGTCATGGGTGCGGATGGCGGTCTATCGTCTATCGCGTTACTACATCGGTTGTTAACGCTGTAACGAGCGTCGTTGCGCGCCGAACGTAATTGCTCCACATAATTTCTAATTGCATTATTATTATCTATTTTCTGTGAGCGTTTTAATGCGTCGTGCAATTAGGTGCATAATTAATCGTTAGCGACTACTGGACTATCTTGGCCTGTTCCGCACCTTATCCTACCTAGTACATCGCACCATATTACTTTGCGCCGCAAAATGATTGTTCACCGTAATTTTGTTACGGCTCACGTAATCTTCCCTTTCATATTTTCTTCCTTATAGTTGAAATATCAAATTCGCTGACGTCAGTAAAGTCGACTCAAAGCTTAAACGACAATTCCGGATATATTCTCATCTCTTTCAGACCCGTCGTTTAAATTTTTTTTTCTAACTTAACTTTAGTTCAGTTTCAAATACTACTTCTCCTAGTTCTGTGTAATTTCCAACTTCAAATTGGTACTGGTTGCTCCAGTTCCCATGACGATCAAGTTAATTGAGGAGTGAAACTTCCCGTCTCCCGACAGGAGCGTAAAGGAAAATAGAGTCATCGGTTATCAACGGTACAAGCTGTATGTGTGTGTGTATGGAAGGATTTATAGAGCTTTCCCGTAGCGCGCGAGAGAAGTCTCCTGGCCACACAGTGCTTACCACGCGCAAAGCCAGAAGCGGAAGCAGAAGACGACGATGCACACTGGAGGAAGCGAGTCAGTCCTAACGGGATCGCGATACGGATCATTAGCGCTGTTTAATCTACAAGCGAGCGTTCTAACTCGACCGCGCACGTCGGAGCGGCGGGGAATCGCGCGGCATGTTGTAAAATCAACTGCGTCACGGGAAGGAATCCTCTTCCTTCGATTTCCGCACCGGCGAAGCGTCTCCTGAGTCATCGTGAACGTCTCATGTGATTTCCGCTGCTGTAAAAAGTCAGAGTTTTACGAACTGCGATTTACTGCAACGCGCAATGTCGTGTACGTCGTCGCTTTTTCTTCTGCTTCCTCGAGAACTCGTTTGACCTGAGAAGACTAAACGTAGATTTACTATGAAAGACTACCAGAAACATACAATATTTCGCTTTACATTCACTCAGATATCAGCTAATTGTGCGAAACGATCATTAGCGATGGATCCTCCAATCGATAGGAAAGGATATTTTTGCAAGAGAAAGAATAATTAAAGTTTACCGCGTTGATATCACGCAGCGTTCCCTAGTGTAAACAACGCTATCGAGCGCCACCCCTGTCATTGTCATGTCCGATGCGAATGCACTGTCCCCAGATGGGCAAATAATAAGCAGTAATAACAATGTGGTAGACGTTAAATGTGCCAGCACATCATGGCCGTAGGCCATATCTAATCGTAGCCGGTGATCTTGACGAGCCATATCGTTGCAACTGCCATCCCTCTTTTACACTCACTTCTCTTTTACCCTTGGCCGTAAATGTCCTACAACGATGTTGTGGATCAGCATTAGCATTTATTTCATGTAAACCTTCGTCCTCTTTGTCCTCTTCGACAAAACGTAGACGAATAAAAAAAGAGATGTTGATAGAAATCAATCTTGTAATATCATAAGTTTTTAATCTTTGAAATTAAGAATTAAATTTATATACGTATGGCATGCAATAATTTCAATTCATGTCATAAATTCCTTTCATTTTATTCTAATTTGTTTATTTTTCTTTCCTTTTATTACAAGCGGCAAATTCCCACCCTCCATAATAATACATCAAGAGTATTGTATAAGCTTATCACGAGTTAGATACATACTTCTAGAAAATGCAAGAAAGGTTAGTAGGAACAGACGGGAATATTTTCATGGAATTGCAAGACTTGCATTAGCGTGCTCGTCCATAACTGGCTTCCGAGAACGCCCACACGTCCGTTAGCACGCGAGTCGGTTGATTTTGTTAAAGAAGACCATGCAAATGCACGGTTTGCATTTATTTTCTGCATTTACTCGCGAATGGAAACGAAACTATCGCGTTGACCATCAGATAAAGAAAAGACCATAGGGTCACCTGGCTTTAATAGCGGTTACGCAGTAACCTTTCGATCTCTAACATAGCGGAATTAAATCGATCGATCATTTCTCGTCGAATATTGATCGCTTCATCGAAATATATGACATTTCTTTCTAAAGGCTGCTAAAGGCGAGAAGAACAAAATCGAGAAAACCATCATCACGGTCAACGCTATTGCTGAAAAATGACGACATTAACATTACCGGTAGTTCCAAGTGGGTCGCAACTGTCGAGATAAACGAGCGATTGAGACCAGTGACCACTCCTTGACCTAGACGTCTCGACATTAACCTGGCCCGACCTACTCTTCAACCTGATCTTGTCGGAACGCAATGTCACAAGGACGCACAATCATTATAGTTTGTAACCGTCGGGTACTGTCAATACTGTCATGTTTTAATTTGTGCTTTTATAATCAGATTTTTTAGTATCATACATCATGCAATTATAATTACAGTACAAAAAAAGAAAAAATACCTATTGTAAGTTTTATATCAACTTTTGCATGTATTTTAATTAAGAAATAATATCATATAATTCTATACGCCTTCTGTTACGATAAAAGTGATATTTTTTTGTAATGTAAAACTAAATACTTGATTACAACGTATGACAACGTATTCTTTATGTCCTACTATTTTAATATTTATAAATAAATTTGTAAAGATTCTTCAAACTTTGAATCAAATTTTTGTGTCGACGATGAGTTTCTTCTCATTCAATGTATATTAATTAGGAGAACTTATTTATTTTTTATTTTTGTTTTTTCTTCAGTATAATATTTTATATTATATTTTTTATCTCAAAATAAAATAACTGCTTTAAACATTTTATATTTTTATGAGCTGTAAAAAAGTAAGCAAGAATAACTTCCAGTATAGCCATATAATGACTTATATAACAATACCATTTCGCCCATAAATCCTTCACCCTTCCGCACGAGGTATTATTTAGTATTATAATACGAGTCTTCAAAGGCTTGTATCCTATATACACTCACGAGTATATCATTATTATTACTTCTCAAGAAGCCGAGAAAGAAAAAAGAGAAAATAAAATACCAAAATGTGCATTAAATAAACGATATCCAATGGCAAATATTTTGTTACTATACAAAATTCTTTTACTTTTATTATTTTTACATTTGTATCTTTGCATTATATAAAACAATGAAAA